TTTGGACTGAATTTCCTCCACTTAAAGATTGGTTTGGGGGGATTTTTTTTCTCCAGCCGAAGGTAACCTGGACATTGGGGGCAAAGTTGGAGGTACAAAAGGGGCACTTCTTGCTTATTTGACTCTATTTGACCAGCAGGCACAAGCTCAGTTAGTCTTCCCGAGAAAAGCTCGCCCCCAGCTGCCGGTCCTATGCGATTTCCTTCTCAGCTCTTCTTCTCCTCGAGTTTCACCTGCAGGCTTGCAGCAACTAAATGATCGGGAGTCACAGGGCTTCATAGCAATGTCCACGGCCGGCCCGCCCCGCCAAATGGCAGCCCACGGATGACTTTGGGCTGACACTCCAGTTCTTTCTCTTCTCTTCTGCTGTCTCCAGGCACTTCCACATCCCCTATCCAGACTTTGCTGTTGTTGTTATTATTATTATTTAATCTTTAGTGAGATTCACAGCCTTTGGGGCTGGTTGATAGCTCAACAGCTTGGGTCCTAACCAAGGACCTAGGAACTGCTCAGATAGTGTCAGAGGATATAAGCTGTTCCAAGTAGGGTGGTTTCTTGTAAAATTAGGGTATTCAAGTCTGATAAATTCAGGATTTCCAAATAGCGAGGCAGCCCTTTAGGTATTGCTCCAAGGGCTCCAAATACAATTGGGATAACACACGGTTTCTTTTTCCAAAGTTGCTCAACTTCATTATTTATTATTTATTCATTATTAGTATTCATTATTAACTTATTTTATTATTACTATTATTCTCATTCTCTGAAACAGGCGTGTCATACTCTGTTATATGTTTACAACCTGCCCACCAACCGAGATAGCAAAAGCATCTGCCTGAGGCTTCGGCGTCTGTCGGACAATTGTGGCGGGAAAGTCGTGACAGTCTCTGGCAGCAGTGCGACCCTCCGCTTCCTCAGCCAAGACAGCGCCGAGCGAGCCCAGAAGCGGATGGAGAACGAAGATGTCTTCGGCAACAGGATCACCCTCTCCTTCACCCCCAAAAACCGAGAACTGGCAGAAACCAAGAACGCAGGCTCTTTCATGGCAGAGAAAGCCAAGTCTCCCAAGAAAGCCAACCGAAACGCGAAGCTGTGCCTCATGAGCAGAACGGCCAATGACACGTCTTCCACCGCCAAGGCGGCGGGCTCAAAAGGCCCTCAAGGACACGGGCCCGTTCCCAAAAACACCGCTGTTAAAAGCTTACAGGTAGGATTGCTTTTCCAGGCTTACACCTCTTTTGAATAGAAATAGAATAGAAATAGAAATAGAAGAAATAGAAATAGAATAGAATAGAATTCTTTACTGGCCAAGGGTGGTTGGACACACAAGGAAGTTGTCTTTGGTGCAAATGCTCTCAGTTTACATAAAAGAAAAGATTCATTTGTCAAGAGTCATCGGGTGCAACACTTAATAATAGTCATAGGGTACAATAAGCAATCAAATCATAGAATAGAATAGAATAGAATAGAATAGAATAGAATAGAATAGAATA